TCTGCCTCCCGAGTGCTGGGATTAAAGGCGTGCACCACCAACGCCCGGAGGGAAAGTGGATTATTATATTTCCAGTGTTTTATATTTTATTTTATCAGGGTTCAGTTCTCAACTTGATTTGTATTTCGTATTGCAAACATTAAATAAGAGCTTGAAAATTTAAATCTTTAAGTTGGGGGTTGGGTATATGGGCATAATATGTTATTTTAATGTTGCTTTAATGTTACAATTTTTATTTCATTTTATTTTATATGTATGGGTGTTTTGCCTGCATGCATGACTATGCACTCACTGTGTGCAAGTAGTGCCCTACTTGAAGTCAGCAGAGGGTGTCGGGAAGAATATTGAATCACCTGGAACTGGAGTTAAAGATGATGTGAGCTTCCATGTAGGTGCTGGAAATAGAACCCAGGTCCTTGAAGAGTAGCCAGTGCTCTAAACTGCTGAGCCGTCTCTCCAGCCCTGCTGTTATGGCTAAATTCATTTACTAATAAGTTTTTTTGCTGATATGAATTTTGGTTAAATTGATTTGAAAAACACCTAAAGTAACATGGAAAGCAACCTTAGGCACATTTCAGGAAGAGGATAGTACTTAAAACAAGACTTTTTGGTTCCAATATCATATCTGGCTGTAAGTGCTTGTTTCATATGGTAAGATTTTGGGGTGGCTCTGTGACTGAAATGAAGATGGTCTTTTCCCACATAATGTTGAGTTTGTATTTGTTTGCAAGTGAGTACCATTTGATACTATAAGGGGTGGAGCTAGGGTTGTGTTTTTTGCCTGGCATACCAGAGGTGAGGCCCTAGGTTTGGGCTCCAGCCAGAGGGAAAAATTGCTGGTATGAGGACTTAGAATATTTTATAAAGATGCTTAGTTTTTGATATATTGTGTGGTTTGTTCAGGTATGAACTTAGTATGTTTGAGAGCCAGAGCAGTATTGTTTCACTAGAAGACTGGGAAGCACCATTCCTGAAACCTTAGTCATTAAACTTGTAGATCTGGTAAGCTCCCAACTAAGGAGCTTTTTTTTGGCCTTCTGAGTGCATGAGTATTTTACTTGTATGTGTGTGTACCTGTGTGTCTGGTGTCCATGGAGTTCAGCAGAGAGGATATCAGATCCCCTGGGATGGAGTTACAGATGGTTTTGAGCCAGCATGTGGATCCTGGGATCAGAAGCAACAAGTGTTTGTTTTAAAGCATTGACCATTGACCACCCCCTCCCCCCCCAGCCTCAATGCTAACCATTAAAAAAAAAAAAAAGGTACTGAAGATCAACCCTACCCCAGGGCTTCTAACAGTCTTGCTTTAAGGCAGAACATCCCCAAATTCAGATTAATTCAGAAAAAAGAATTGTTTGCTCAAGGTTATTTTTGTTTCTTTAAGGAGTGGTAGAGACAGGGTTTTACTGTGTAGCCCAAGCTGTCCTGGTCAAACTCAGAAGTCCACCTGCCTCAGCTTGGTATTAAAGGTATGGGCCACTGCCCCTGGCCCCAAGACTATTCTTTAGTAGGAAAATAAACACTTTGTTTTAAAATGGAGATGTCGTAAAGCCAGTGTTTTAGCTCCTTCAAATTATGTGTGTTTTTTTCTCTGTTTCTGAGACAGTTTCTCTGTCTTTGGAGGCTGTCCTGGAACTAGCTTTTGTAGATCAGACTGGTCTCGAGCTCACAGAGATGTACCTGCCTCTGCTTCTGCCTCCCAAATGCTGGACTAAAGGCATGTGCCACCACCACCATGCTTCAGATTATGTTTTAAACATTCAAGTGGAAACTTTTTGTGTTTGGAATTCAGCATTTATCTTTTTGGTTTTTGCAGCAGCCTCCCAAAGTGCTAGGATTATAGGCATAAACCATCACTCCTGGCTTAATTACTAAATTAAAAATGAACTTAACCAGTTGACTACATTAAATATTTTCTACTATTTGTGTGAAGGGGGAAAAGGACAAAATATACATTTTTAATCTAGAGCCCACTTCTGTTGACTGAATTTGAAAAGGTACTATATACATAAAATTTAAGACAGCAACTGGATTTGTATGTTACTACACATAATGCCTTCAAGCTCATAAAGTCACATTACTTTGCCCTGTAGTCTATAGTTTAAAAAATAACCTTAATTTAAATTCATTAAAGTTTTTAGTTTCACTGAATCATTTAAAGAGGTCATACAGAATTTTCACCATACCCAATTTCCATGAATGAATATTCTAAAACAGTAAAGTATATCTATCACTCATAACTAAGGAGCCAGTAACTGAAGTTAGTTTTGTTTTGTTTTAGACCTAAGATCTTACTTTGTAGCATTGGAATTCACTAAGTAGACCAGACCAGACGCCAGCTGACAGATAGATCTTCCTGCCACTGCCTTCTGGGTGCTGGGAGCAAAAGCATGCACCAGCACCCCTGCCTAGAAATAGACTTTTTTGTTTTTTGAGACAGGGTTTCTCTGTTGGACAGTCCTGATTGTCCTGGCACTAGCTCTGTAGACCAGGCTGGCCTCAAACTCCCAGAGATCCCCCACTCCCAGAGATCCGCCATCCTCTGCCTCCCGAGTACTGGGACTAAAGGCATGTGCCACCACCATTGCCAGGGCCTCGATTGAGATTATTAAGTAAAGTTTTTACTTTTTTTTCCAATTACCTTTTGCCCTAGGATCCTATCCACATACTACATTACATTTAATTGTCATGTCTTAGTTGTCAGTGTCTTAGACTTTTTGAGAAGTACTCCAGTGTCTTGTAGAATGTCCTTTATTTTATTCTGTGGGCGCTATTGTAATGAGATACCACTTCACCAATCAATACCAAGAATTTATTTCTCTCATTTCTGGTGTCTGAAAAGTCCATAATAAATAAAACTAGCAGGTTCAGTATCTGGTGAGAGCTGGCTGTTTGCCCTTTACTGTTCCAGGGGGAGATAAATGTGGTCCTTACCTGATGAAATAGAACAAAAAGGAAGCTATCTAGAAAGCTACTTGTTGCATTTAGAGGGTGGAACCCTTTGATCCAATCACCTCTTTAAAGATCAACTTTTTTTTGTTTGTTTGTTTTTTGTTTTTCAAGACCGGGTTTCTCTGTGTAGCTTTGGAGCTTATCCTGGGGCTCACTCAGTAGACCAGGCTGGGTTCGAACTCAGATCCACCTGCCTCTGCCTCCCAAGTGCTGGGATTAAAGGCGTGCGCCACCAACTCCAGGCAAAGACCAATTTTTTTTTTTTTTGTAAAAAATTTTGCTTCCATGGATATCTGCACACCAAAAGAGGGCACCAGATCTCATTGTAGATGGTTGTGAGCCACCATGTGGTTGCTGGGAATTGAACTCAGTCTCTCTGGAAGAGCAGTCAGTGCTCTTAACCTCTGAGCCATCTCTCTAGCCCAAAGACCAATTCTTAATAAAGCATTCCATTAGTTAGTATGTATCAATCTGAAGTTTGGGAGGACACTTGAATTTAGACCATTGAATCCTAATTGGTGTTTCTTTTGCTAATTGTTGAGAAGTTTCTTTTGGTTTTATTTATTTTTTCATGTTTTTTGAGACAGGATTTCTCCATGTAACTCTGGCTGTCCTGGAATTTAGAGAGCCACCTGCACCTGTCTTGTGGAGTGCTGGGATTAATGGCATGTGCTGCTAAGCACAGCAGCTCCTTTTTCTTTTTTTTTTTTAAGTTTACTTTTGAGCTGGGCTACATAGAAAGACCCTATCTCTCAAAAGAAAAAGGTGTGTGTGTGTAAAATGCTGGAAGAGCCAGAAGAAAGCTGAAAGTTACAGGCTGTTGTGAGCTGCCTATGTGTGTGCTAGGACTTAGGTTCTGTGCAAGAACTGGACATTCTTCATCCTCTCCAGACCCATGAACCCCTTCTTTCAGTCCCTTTCTTGTTTTTTTGGTTTGCTATGTAAGTCCATTTACATGATAGGAGTAGGTGAACTGTCAAATCTTCAAACTTACATCTATAACTATTCAATATAATCCCAAACAAAACCTTTGCAATCTATTTTGTAATCATTTGTAAATTTTGTATGGAAAGGCTCAGACCTATGTTGGATCAGAGATACCAAAGGACAAAGTTGCATCACTTACTGTCCAATTCCAAGACTTCACTAGATTGCCTTAAGAATGAACTCAATTAAATGGTGCCAAATGAAAAAAAAAATGTTGCCAACTGGTCTTAAAGTAGATATTTAAGCAATCTGCTGTTTTTTTTACTTCTTCATATCAAATATATGTGATAAAGTCATACTTAGACTTTCAGTTACTGGGGGAGATATTCCCCAATCCAAGACTTCAGTTTCTGGAATTTTAAAATCACTGAGTTCTACATGGACATTATATCTTGAGATAATACTGATTTTTTTTGTCATATGTTGGATGATTGTGGGATTCCTGCTAGAAGCCAAACGTGCTTAAATTAAATTACTAAGGAGGCAAGATTTAGATTTTAAAATCTTACTTTATCTGTTGTTTATTTATTTGTGCAAGTTAAGGGAACCTGCACATTCTTTGTGCATGTGGAGGTCAGAACAGTTTTCAAGAGTGGGTTCTCTGCTAACATAGGGGTCTAAAGATAAAACTCAAGAGGATCAGGGTTGCAGCAAGGGCCTTTACCTATTGTGTCACTTCCTTGGTTCTATCATTTAGATTTTTATGTAGTATGTACAACTAACTTTAATTCTCAATTCCTCTCCCCCCTTCCCCCCCAGAATTTCTTGAGGTTGGCAAAAAGCAACCTGCCCTGGATGTTCTTTATGATGTTATGAAAAGTAAGAAACACAGAACATGGCAAAAGATACATGAGCCGATTATGTTGAAATACTTGGAACTGTGTGTGGATCTTCGTAAGAGCCACTTGGCTAAGGAAGGTTTATATCAATATAAGAACATTTGTCAGCAGGTACTGTGCTCATTTTTATATTTTTAAAGTGCTTAGTAACTTTTAGAGGAATTTACCTTTCAAATTAAATTTTATATCTTGATTTGCTTTTAAACATTATTTTAGTTCTTTGGAGAAAAATAAATTCTTTTTCCTTCCTGTAGGTAAACATTAAATCTTTAGAAGATGTTGTTAGGGCATACTTGAAATTAGCAGAGGAAAAAACTGAAGCTGCTAAAGAAGAATCCCAACAAATGGTGTTAGATATAGAAGATCTAGATAATATTCAGACGCCTGAGAGGTATGTGAATTTAATCCCTTAGTAAATATTTTGGTTATTTACACTGTTTTTTCTTTTCCTTTTGCTTTTTTCCGAGACAGGGTTTCTCTGTGTAGTCCTGATTGTACTAGAATGCACTCTGTAGACCAGGCTGGCGTCACTCGTCCTCTTATCTCTGCCTCTCAAGTGCTGGGATTAAAGGTGTATACCACCACCACACAGCAGTGTTTTTCCTTATATGAGCCATCATCACCCCCCCACACACACATACTTGGAAGGTAGATGATTGATTATCAGAAGCAAACTGCTTATCTTTGTATACTTCACCAACCATGTCAGCAATATTTAAAATTTACACTTAGGGTAGAACATGCATTAAAAGTTTTTTTGGGGGGGTGGAGGAGTGTTTTGGAGACAGGGTTTCTCTGTGACTTTGGAGGTGTCCTAGAACCAGCTCTGGCAGACCAGGCTGGTCTCAACTCAAAGAGATCTGCCTGCCTCTGCCTCCTGAGTGCCAGGGAGTCTGCCACCACCACCTTGCCATGCACTAAAATTTAAACTGTTGTAATACAGACTGAAAATTCAGATACAGATGGTAAGGGATAGCTTGACAGTATATATGAGGTTGTGGGAAGAATTTGTCATTGTTGGTTTGGGCTTTCAGATCACAATAAAAATACCTGAATTGTTTTCAATGCATTTTTCTTTGTAGTGTTCTCCTAAGTGCAGTAAGTGGGGAAGACACTCAGGATCGTACTGACAGATTGCTACTGACTCCCTGGGTCAAGTTCCTATGGGAATCATACAGGCAGTGTTTGGACCTTCTTCGAAACAATTCTAGAGTAGAGCGCCTTTACCATGATATCGCCCAGCAAGGTAAAATGACAATATAAAATGTTAATACACTGATTTGAAAAGATGACTTTAGATATTTGTAGATAAACCTTCTGTTCTCTGTAGTTTTTAAAAATAACTAGTTTTATCCTTAGTGAAATGAAATTGACCTTTTTTACATAAATAGCTGAAAAATAGATTTATCTTACGGGTTAATACATTTTCATATGGAATTGTTCTACTGACTTTTGAAGCCCCCTCCTGCTTTTTTAAAGTTAAGCACACATTGATAGGCTTCATATGGTATATTTTCATGTTATTATAGTTCATTCTTGATCATCACTCTCCTGCCAATTCCCTGACTTCTCTTTGTTGACACTTCCCCCCCATCACCCTCCTTTACCCTCTTTTCTACTTGGATAACCTTATACCCTTGGGACAATTTCTCTGTAGTCCTGGCTGTCCTGGAATTCATTCTGAAGGTGGCCTTGAACTCAGGTCTGCTTGCTCTCTTGCTTCCTGAGTTCTGGGATTAAAGGCATACACCACTGTGCCCACCATATTTCTATTCCTAAGCAGTATTGCTTAGTATTGATGTCATGAATCACTTCATACTTGGTTGCCTTTCATCACATACTCTGAAGGACTAGATTACAGGCACCCATCCCCCACACCTAGCTCAGAATTTCTTTATGTGTTGTTAACTTTCTGCTATGACTGTTTTAGTAGGAATATTAGTACCAGTGTTTATTTGCATATGTAACATACGTCTATATCATGTCTCACAAGCAAACTTGTAATATTTGGTAAAAAACTGAGTTGGGGTTAAATCATATTGCTTGTTTTTGGTCTTTTGAAATAGAAAGGTTTGTTTGTTTATTTTGAGACAGGGTTTCTCTGTATAACCTGATTGTCCTGGAACTTGCTCAGTAGACAAGGCTGTCCTCGAACTCAGAGATACACCTGCCTCTGCCTCCCAGATGCTGGGATCAGAGGCGTGTGCCACCACCACTCAGTGAAATACAGTTTGTTTATAAGAGCAAAGATGTTCCAAAAAGTACTCTGATACTGCATAGATGTGAATTTTAATGATGCAGCCAGTAATTACCCATTCTTCTGTTTCTGTATTTGAAATTAGGTAAATCCTTATATCACAGTTTTCATTAGTACAAAAGCATGTTGCATTATTTGTACATTAGATATGTAAGCTCATTGTATTTCATCCTAGCAATTAAAACTGTTCTTTTAGGTCTTTGAATGTAACTCCTAGACTTAATTTATTTTGAAAATTTTTTTTTTGTGTATGGATACTTTGACTTTATTTATGTCTATATACCATGTGCATGCCTGGTGCTTACAGAAGCCAGAAGAGGGCCCTGGATTCCCTAGAACTGGAGTTACAGCTGGCCCTGAGCTGCCATGTGGGTATAGGGAATCTAACTTGAGTCCTTGTATAGCCAGATGTTGGCCATATCTTTCCAGCTCCCGACTCTTTTCCTAAATTTAAGTTCTATTTGTTTCGTATTTGTAAATTTCCAGAACCATGTATTGGGCCAGGACTTATGACCGTGTCTTTTTATTTTGCTCAGGATTCAGAGTGTTGGCAGGTTCATGGAGGGAATTAAGACTGACTCTCATTACATAGAGTAATTGTGAGCTTAGTGAATCTTGTTAAAATTGGTCTTAATATGTGGCATATAAAAACCTAACTTAGATATTCAAGTGACAGAAAATATCTAATTCTTGTTTGACAATTATGCTTACAGCTTTCAAATTCTGCCTCCAGTATACTCGAAAGGCTGAGTTCCGCAAGCTCTGTGACAACTTGCGAATGCATTTATCTCAGATTCAGCGCCACCATAACCAAAGCACAGCAATTAATCTTAATAATCCAGAGAGCCAGTCCATGCATTTGGAGACCAGACTTGTTCAGTTGGACAGTGCTATCAGCATGGAACTATGGCAGGCAAGTTAACTATTTGCTTTGTACCACCTTGTATTGGTATTACTGGTTAATTTCAGTAGGTACTGTGAGAATTTAAGGTTGTCTGATGACAGTAGGAATTTAATCACTTGCTAAATCTGGACTTAATCATGTAGTCTTTTCCTTCTATGCAAAAACAAAACAAGTAAAAAAAACAGCCCCCCAAATCCTGCTCACAATGTGGTTCTATGATTGGTACCATTCTGAGTTGGGTAGTGTGATGAGAGAAGTATGGAGAAAAAATATTTAAAGATGGAGATGTTTTTGTTGTTGCTGGTGTTGTTTCCTTGCCTCATTTTGTTTGGTTTTGGTGCCAGGAATTAGGACCTGTCTGTATGTGCTGATCCCAAACCCAGGGCCTTGTCATTACTTGGTAGCCAGTACTTTAATGGGCTAACTCTCTAGCCCCCTGGTGCTGGTGGTTAAACCATAGCCTTTCAAATGGTAAGCATGTGCAATACCACTGATTACATCTAGTTTCTACAAAGACTGTTGATAGCAGTTTCCTCATAATTTTGTGTTAATCTGATAATACATTGTAGCTTTATTGTACTTTATGAGCATTTATTGATGATTAGAAGTTAAAAAACACACTTACTTTTTCTGTATTTGGAGAAGTGCTGGTTTAGTACCATGCATGGTGTATGCTGCATTTTAGTGATGGCAGTAATGATGAAAAGCTTCCTGGCCCTTTCTCCCCTTCTTAGGATATAGTCACATCATTTTGTGACTTTAACATACATGAAGGTGTTTTTATTTATTTAACATAAAAGAGCCAATTGAAATTACAAGGGATTAAACTAAACAAATCAGTTTTTAGTTAAAATGTGATTTAACTAAAAGTTAAACTAAAAGTTAAAAGTAAAGATGTGATTCTCCTGCCTCCCAGCACTTGGTAGGCAGAGGCATGTGGATCTCTGAGTGCGAGACCAGCCTGGTCTACAAGAGCTAGTTCCAGTATAGCCTCCAAAGTCACAGAGAAACCTTGTCTCAAAAAAAAAAAAATGTGATTGAGTTTTCTGTTCTTGCCCAAAGTACTTTTCCTTTTTTATAGGGACACCAATCTTAAATTACTACTTGGAGAGGACAAGCAAACTTGATGTATTAAGGAAAATATTCTAGGACAGCCAAGGTTGCACAGAGAAGCCCTGTCTTGAAAAAAAAAACAAAAAAAAAAACCAAAACGATATTTCAAAGATAGCGTTTTGTATTTATAACAGTTTCTCAGATTTACCAGACAGAAATAGAATCCATATTAGGCATTTTATTTTCTATTTTTATTTATATGTTTTAATTTCATAAAAGTGATTTGTATTTGATCTTTTTTAATGAAGTGATTAACTTGTACATTTTAGGAAGCCTTCAAAGCTGTGGAAGATATTCATGGGCTGTTTTCCTTGTCTAAAAAACCACCTAAGCCTCAGCTGATGGCAAATTACTATAACAAAGTCTCAACAGTGTTTTGGAAATCTGGAAATGCTCTGTTTCATGCATCTACACTTCATCGTCTTTATCATCTGTCTAGGGAAATGAGAAAGAATCTTACACAAGATGAGATGCAAAGGTAAGAATGTTATAGTTGCATGGTAATGAGATTAAACGTAAGTGGTAGTGTGGTCTAAGCATGGTATCTTAGCTTCTGGACGTTTTGGATTGGCTAATACTGTTGTGTGTTGCTAGTGCTTGGTAGGCTGTTTAGTAGTATTCCTAGACTCTACTCCTGAGGGGTCAGGAGCAAACTCTGATTGTGACTACCAAGTGTCTCTGAGACATTGCTCTCCTTGGAGAGTATTCTTGAGCCATCTTCTACTTCTGCCCCGAGAAAAACTGCCACCGGAAACCCAATTGAGAACATGTGTGTTCACAGAGATAATACTAACATGTGAACCTATCCATATATTGGTATATTCTTTTCTTAGAGCAGTTGGATAATTAGGTAATTACATCAAGCTCCTTTTCCCCCCCTTGATTATAAAACAGTAACTAGTATAAAGCACTTGCCTTGTGTTAGTTTATATCCTGGTAAACCTACTATAAGTTGAAAATGTGTTAAGTAAGGAGGTATTACACTGACCTACTTACTATCAACAGTGTGGGTAGTATGTGCTAGGAGAGGAAGGAGGTCTGTTTACTCTTAGGATTGCATGGCTGACTAGGAGCTGTGTATCATTTATTGCTGCTGCATGCTTTTCCAAGAATACTACACACTTTATGTCACTAGCTTGGGACAAGATTAATTCTTTTGTATTACGGTAAAAAATATGGGTAAAACCTTCATGTTTCTTAACATGTGAATCATAAAATGGGGACTATTTGTGTGCACCTTGCAGACTATTAAAATCAAAGTATAGGTTGAATGTGGTGGCACATACCTCTTAGCACATGGGCTGAGGTAGAAGGACCAAACGTTCAACATTAGGCTAGCTTAAACTACCTAGTAAGATCGCTTCCCACAAGAAGAATCCACACAAGACCCTATTACATATATATAGCGTGTTTCTTTTCACTTGCTTTCTTTTTTATTTTTTGTCAAGCTAGAAATTGAATCCATTGCCTCGCACAAGATAGGCAGTTCACAGGTCACCTTTCCTTGTTAGTAAACTGGCTTTTTTTCTTTTAAAGATTTATTTATTTATTATGTATACAGTGTTCTGTCTATATGCATGCATGCCAGAAGAGGACACCAGATCTCATTACAGATGTCTGTGAGCCACCATGTGGTTGCTGGGATTTGAACTCAGGACTTCTGGAAGAGCAGCCAGTGCTCTTAACCTCTGAGCCATCTCTCCAGCCCTAAACTGACTTCTTTTTAAAATATATGTATCTATTTTTCTTACTTTTGTGGAAGAATAGGAAATCAACCAAATGGGTTTCCTTAAGGGAGTTAGTTAATACTTGTAATATTGGTTAGTGTCAGGTCTTTTTGTCCTGTATATGTTATTAAGACTCCTGGGTACCTTTGCTACTTAGCATTCTAAATTGTAGACTTTCTTGTGTTTCAGGAAAGTAAAAAAAAAAAAAAATTTATCCTTTTCTCTGTCATAATTGTGTTTACTTAAAGTCCATTTTCTTAGTTTCCAGAGCTACCTTTAATTATTTTGGTAAGGACATTTGTCTTCACTGCTGTTGGGCCACATTTAGTGTGTTGATATGAGATTGAGTTTACAAGGATTCACTTCCTCAAGGTTCAGTGATCTAATACTGTGTTGTGCTGGAATAATTAGTATGCTACGTATATTCTGTCAATGGCATACAATAGATAATCAAAAGAAGCACATTTCTAATCTTAAAAAATAAAACTTTGTTCACCACAGAATGTCCACTAGAGTCCTTTTGGCGACTCTTTCCATACCTATTACTCCTGAGCGAACAGACATTGCTCGGCTCTTAGACATGGATGGTATTATAGTTGAGAAGCAGCGACGCCTTGCAACACTGCTAGGTCTTCAAGCCCCACCCACACGAATCGGCCTTATTAATGATATGGTTAGTATAAATCTGAGCATTTTTTTGAGGAGAAAACTTTGTGGTAAGTTTTAATTGATGATTACATACTGGAAATTCAGATTCATTGTCAGGCTTCTGATGTGTGGACAAGGAACCACTGATGAAATGGATATCTTGTTCATTTGAGGAGACTCATTAAAGCAGTGAGTGGTTCAGGGTATGTGATGAGTTAGGTA